AGTTTTAACTTTGCAGCTTCCCAGCCATTTGATATAGGAAATACAAAGAAACTAGCATATAATCATAACGACTTTGAGAGAGACAGTTCATGGTTGCGTAATGGTTAGTAAACTTGCCTTGCTAGAGCTAATACAACTGAGTAGTGGCCCATACCTTCGGCCTTAGATGATCATTACGACACCTTGACGTAGTTTAATGGTTAGCAAGCTGGTCCCGCTAGAACGATTACGGCTAAGTCGTGAGTTCAATCTTCACTAAGTGCCGCATACCATCGGCCTGACCCCACATCTAAGCTGTGCTTAGGAAATCATTTGAGCACCGCAACGTAGTGTAATGGTTTACAGATTTGTGTAATGGTTTAGCAAGCGTGTCCTTCTAGAACGATTACGAGTGAGTAAGAAGTTCTATCCTCATTGGGTACCCAATACTTTCAATATTGTGCCACATCTAAGCTACACATAGAAAATCACCATAACGACTTTGAGAAAGTGAACATTTTAAATGTGGCCAGCTCTTTCATGTCCAAGAACGAGCCGGAGGACCCTGGTGTGTACGTGTAATTGGTGGTCGAAAATTATGAACGTTTGGAGTAGTCAGACTATGAAATCAGTGGGAGTAATTGCCTAAGGATGTTAGGTCCATTAAGAGATGTGTGGGCAATGAGGACATCATTTACAAGTGTTACATCATTTACAAGTGTTACATCATTTACATATATGCCCATTATGATGTACACTAGATTAATATCGTCTGTGATGTTTCTTGGGGTTGCCTACGCCTAGAAGCATATCATGCCGTCCTAATTCTTCCCACAGAGCCTCATTGCCTCTACCTATATTGATGCATTGGACACGGTGGTCAAATTTTGCATTATGACGGTGGTCCATGAACATTTGTCCAGGAGAGATCTACAACAATGGTCAACCCCAAAGCATGGAGTTCTTATTTAAATCCTCTTGACTACTACGTCTAAATGCCACCATCTCTGTCATGGGAGTCAACACGAAAGAGATGCTGCCGCTCTGTTTATCAAGTCGCTTGCGAGGTTTCATCAATGTCGTGCTTTGAGGTTAAAAGTGGTTTTATTGAATAAGGTTTTTTTGTTTCAAACTCATCAAGTCGCTGAAAGTATAGAAACCGAGTGATGTATGACAAAACAGGATCAACATACAGCCTGATTTTTTTAACACCTCCAGGCTTAGCGGTCTTGTAGAGAAAATTATGTTGAAAATAATTGTCATTGAATTTGATCCCTCATTCATTACCTTCGGAGTATTACGTAAAAATAGCACTATTTTATCGTTCCAAGATTTTTTTTAAATACAAATGTAGATAAATAAATAGTGTGCGTTGGTACACTGTATATATATATATATATATATATATATATATATATATATATATACAGTGTAACCCGGATATAAGAGAGATATAAGTGAGTTGTCGGGACCGGAGAAGAAGTCTCTTATATCCGGGTTTCTCTTATATCCGGTTTCGTCTTTTTTATACATTAACACAGGCTCTAATTTGGGACCAGAGAAAATCTCTCTTATATCCGGGTTTCTCTTATATCCGGGTCTCTTATATCCGGGTTACACTATATATATATATATATATATATATATATATATATATATATAATAAAAGGCTTAAATACTAATATCCCATGGTCATAATTTATTCCATTGGAATCGTAAATACGATCCAATTCATCAGACCAAACAACTCCGGAAATAAAAATAGAATTTAGAGAGAGTGTAAGTATGAGAGTGTGGGACGAATGTTAGAGCTAAAGAGAGGGGTAACAGATGAGAGAAGGTGGGAGATTAAAACTTAACAGAGAGGAGTTTTATAGAGGCGAGTGGAAGGGGGAAACATGAATGTTGTCGGATGTCTAATACATTAAAGATACATTTCGTGGTGACATACACACACCATAGACGATCTAAAGTTAAAGATCAGAATAAGAGGGAGGGAGAGGAAAGGAAAGAAGAGGTGGGGGAGAGAGATGGGGCGGGGGAAACTAAAACTGAAGGACATTTACTGAAAGGGCTGCTGTGTAATTGAGAAAATTTGACAAAATTAATATCGACTACAGGTTACAAGTTAAATATAAACATAAAAAATAAATATAACGATTATCTAATCTAGCAAGGACCTATATTTTTATGTTCAAAAACACATGCGAATACACACATACACAATAACATGTACACGTATATACATACACATAGGCGTGTACCCACATACACACATTCATATACCCATGTACACACATACACATATATCCACATATCCACACAAATACACACATACACATACACATACATTCACCCACATATACATATATATATACATATACACATATACATATATCTGGTTCAATATGTTAGCTCTATCTCTGATACTGAGCGCTTTCTCATGAGTACCGCGCATATAATATACAAATAATTACACCTACATATATACATATACATATACATACATATATATGGAGCAAGATCAGATAGGAGTGATAGAGGAAAGGATGAGGGTAGTGGATCGATCAACGCAACTGGAGGTGTCGATTGACATTACATTTGAATAGTTGGAGATCATAGCGTACATTCATAACTGCTCTGGCGTATCAAATGTAAACAAAGGACGTCATATATTAAGAAATGGACAAAGTCCGACAATTTATTTATTAAAGACATTTTTATGTTTAACGTTCTTTTTTTTTTTTTTATAGATACAAGTATTTAAGTAAATGCTCTGTTTATAATAAACAGTATTAAATAACATTTACCGGCCTGAATGTCCGAGAAATTTGCATAGAAAATATTCGTCCTTTGACAGGATTCGAACCTGCATCCTGTATCTCTGAATGTACTAGATTCATGGAAGATTGAAGTTTATAAGCAGTAAATTCAACCTTGCCTGCCGAACGATCCTTTGTGGCCGAGAGGTTAGGCACGTCAGCGTAAATGACGGTTCCGTATAGGATGCGGGTTCGAATTCTGTCAAAGGACGAATATTTTCTCTTCAGGCCGGTAAATGTTATTTAATACTGTTTATTATAAACAGAGCATTTACTTAAATACTCGTATCTATAAAAAAGAACGTTAAATATAAAAATGTCTTTAATAAATAAATTGTCGGACTTTGTCCATTTCTTAATATATATGTGTGTGTGTGTGGAAAGTGTATATAAATAAATATATATATGTATAATTATTTATATATTATATGCACGGTACTTATTAGAAAAGCGTGAAACCCAGGGTCACAAACTCACATCTATCCAACCAAATATATATATATATCAGGCGTGCCCGAAAATTCCGGACGTAAAACCTTTATTCCGGTGCTTCATTTCTGTCATATCGTTAATAATTGATATTTAATAAATGTTTTTCGTACTGCTTATATTGGTACCCTTTCGGTTGCCCTTGCTTTATTAACCAACCTATTTTACACACACACACACACACACACACAATGTTTCCGATCACCGTTCCTATTCACATCACAAGTGATTAGGTACCACATGTATCCCCCCCCAACTAACTTTATATCCGACCCCCTGTTCTTTCCCACCAGTAACAATTGAATAAGTAAATGTTGTATTGTTCAGCGTAAACAGCTTCATTAACCAATGATTTCAGAGAATAAAAAGCCGCGGCAATTTTTCAGTAGAAAGAAAGCTGTTCATTGCATTCGCTTTCTGTCTCCGTATTTCAAGTGCCTGTTGTCTTAAATACAAGAATGCGCTTGCGCAGAACGCCCATACCTGCGCACATATCTTTTATTTTCTCTTAAAATGAATGAAAGAAAAACTTCCTTTCTTCCACATATATGTGACGAATAGGACTTTCCACACTATAAGTCGTCTAAAAGGTTTCCTTGGTTTATGCAGCAAGCAACAGGCGCCTCTTTGGAGGATGGATCTGAGGATACCAAGCTTCAGTCACTTTTTGTCTTCCAATCCCTAAATGACTGAAAACTGGAAGATATTTTTGATTATGCCAACCAATCGTTTAATAAGCCGAATGGAATAGCTTCAGGTCATTCCATCTCTAGAGGAATGTTAGAAATTTGGCTATTCATGCCAAATTTCTTATTATCTAAGTTCCTCTATCATGTCGAATTCGTATTAAAATGGCAATTTTTTGTCTGCAGTTTTAGATGAAGCGTTTTTAGTATTATACATTGAATCATTGGGATTTGATTCTTCGCCTGGAACTGGTTCTCATGAATCAATATGTAATAAGAAGAAAGACTCGTTTTAGAAATTTAGAATCGATAATGATGTTTTGTTTGTTTTGGTTTACATAACATAGAAATAAAGTGGCAATTAACTCATGCAATCATGCGATTATACAATAAAATCTAAAATGGGTTAAATTACGAAAAGTCTGCAATTTCGCAATGAAATGAACGAAGTATTTTTCGAGAAAATTTACAAATTCCATCGAATTTCTACTAAAGAACTGATACTAAATTTGTCTTTTGAGATTTGGTATATACTTTGTGATTAAAGTGTACACACATATACACAATTTTTGTCTCTCTCATTTTTCGCTCTTCATTTTTCGTTTTTTCTTTCTTGTTCTCTTGTTCCCATTTCTTACTCTCTTTTTTTCTCTCTTCCTATCTTGTTTTTTTCTCTCTTTCTTTTCATGTTTTCTTTCTTCCTCTCTTGCATTTCTCTCTTTCTCCCTCTCTTGTTTTTTCTCTCTTTCTCTCTTATTGTTTCTCTTCCTTTCTTACATTTGCTTTCTTTTTTCTTCTTCTGTTGTTTTTCTCTCCTATTTTTCTTTCTACCTTTCTTGTTTTTTCTCTTCCTTTCTTTTTTCTTTCTTCCGCTCTTATTTTTCTCTCTTTTCCTCTAGTTTTTGCTCTCTCCCTATCTTGTGTTTTTCGTTTTCCTTTTTTTCTGTTTTTCTCTCTTTTTTTTTCGCCCTCTTAAGCTTTACTTGAGTTTTGCCTTTTTTTTTTTTTTTTTTTTTTTTTTCAGTTCCGTCTCTTCTCTTTTCTTTCACTTTCTTTTCCGGCCAGTTGGCCTCTTGAAATACGGCTCATCATAAGGCACATTACACTACTAAATAGATTCATGGTAATTTTTCAGTGAAAGCGCCTCAGCCATTTTCATTACAAATGGCCATACGCAAGCATTTGCCTTAAAAATGGGGAAAAGTCTGTTTTTTTTTCTTTGAGAAAAGATTCCTTCTATAATTAAAAAATGAAATCGTGGTATAATATTAACGCAAATGACAGAGTGATTGCTTTCTAATTTATTCACTTGAAAATATAATTTTCTAAAACATAAATATAGATTTATTTATAAAGATATGAATATTTCATGTTTCTAAAGCAAAATATATTTATACTTCTGTTCTTCCTTAGTGAAAATCGCCAATTATTTCAATGATGAAAACGTTACCTAAAATATTTCACTTAATCATTGCTTATGTATGTGGTTATGTATGAGAGAATGGAGAGAATGTGTGAGTGAACAAGAGCAAACGAAACGAAACGAAACAAACCAAATTTTAAGAAATGTTATTTTCCACAGGAAATTAGGCGTGCTATTCAGAAAGCTACACGGGTCACAGTTTGCCCATGACTGGTCTACAGACAGCATTCGAATATCAGTCGATGCTCATAGCTTTGCGTAACTGCCAACCTTTCAATTGAGTGATTTTGATTTATGTTCAATGCGATATCAAAAGTAAACATAATAAATAAATAAATAAATTCCACGAGGGACTGATATTTGAAAAAAAAAATGAAATTATAACGACCCAAAGACAGTCGATGTACCAACAAAAAGATTGAATTCATTCTTGTCTATGTATGTCTATGGAAGGCTTCTAAGTTTGTAAAAATTTCTACAGGCTCAAATTAGCCTGTTACCAATCTACGTCAATATGACCGGCTTCTTTGATGGTTAGCAAGCTTGTTTCGCTGGAAAAATTAAGAGTGAGTTCGATCCTCACTGAGCGCTTCATACTTTCGGCTTTCTGCTACATCTATGCTACGTTTAGAAAATTAACATTTGGCTACTTCGATGTGGTGTAATGGTTAGCAACCTTGTCTCGCTAAATTGGTTACGACTGTATAGTGAGTTTGAGCCTTACTGGGTGCCACATACTTTCGGCCTTGTGCCACATCCATTTTTAGAGAATCAACATATGACCAGCTTCTGTCTTTCTTTCTTAAATTTTCATTGATTTTTCTCGTTCTTTCTTTTTTTTCATTTTTTTTACATGTCTTTTTCTTTCTTGTGTCTGGCTTTTTTCTCCTCTTTCCTTTCTGTTTTCTTGTTATCACCTTTCTTTTCGTCTATTTTTTTCTTTTTTATTATAACCTCTTAATATTTCTTTTTCGCTTTCTCCTTATTCGTTTCTATTTTCCGTTTTTCATTTTTCCTCTTTTACTTAAATTTTATTCAGTAATTTCCTCTGACATTTGTTCTTTCTTCCTCCTTTTTGTCCTTTTTTCTTTGATTTCTGTCTTTCTCTCTCTCCTTAATCATTCTTCGCGTTTTTCTTTATAATTGCCTTTTTTAAATTCCTATTTTTTCTCCTGCTGCACGGATTTTTTGCTGTGTTTTCTTCTTTGAATTTACGCACCGCTTTTCATGACGCTTCCTTCAATTCAAACCGAACTACTTCATCTCTCTATTCCTCCTCTCTAATAATTACTTATCTTCTTTTCTTCTTCGCTATTTATCATCTCTGTTGCATTTCTTTCATGATTTTTATTCTTTTTTCAATAGGGAATTTAATTTCTTTCCCCTTTTGTTATTCATCTCTTTCTTTTCATTTTTTGCTTTTCTTGCTCTTCTTTTTGTCTTTATTATCCGTTTCTTTTTCCTATTTTCTTCTTCCCATTCTTCTTTTATTTATCTTTCTTCTTCTTTTCTTTTCTTCATTCTTCTGTTACCTCATCTTTTTCTCTCACTTTTTCCTTTCTTTTTCTTCTTTTTTTCTTTCTTTTACCTATTCTTTTTCTTTCTTTCTTTACTTTCCTTTTCTTTATTATTCGTTTCCGTTTACTTTTTCTCTCTCTCTCTTTCATTTCTTCTTCTTCTTTCTTTCTTTCTTTTTCTTATTCTGCTTCTCATTCTTCTTTTTATCTTTTCCTTTTTTCTTCTTTTCCGTTTTCTTTTTTATCTCTCTCTTCCTTTTCGTCGTCGTCATCTTATTTCTTTCTTTTCTTTCTTTCTTTCTTTCTTTCTTAATTTCTTTTACTTATTTTTCTTCTTTCTTTCTTTCTTTTCCTACTCCACTTCTCCTCATTCTTCTTCTTTTTATCTGTTCCTCTTCTTTTCTCTTTCCCTTTCTTTTTATTCTTCTTTCTTTTTCCCGTTCTTCTTTCTTTCTTTCTTTCTTTCTTTCTTTCTTTCTTTCTATTCTTCTTTCTTTCTTTCTTTCTTTCTTTCTTTCTTTCTTTTTTTATCTTTTTTCTTTTCTTTTCTTCATTCTTCTTTTTCCTCTTCTTTTTCTCTCTCTTTCACTTTCTTCTTTCCTTTTCCCATTCTTTGTTTCTGTCTTTGTTTCTTTGTTTCTTTGTTTCTTTGTTTCTTTGTTCCTTTGTTTCTTTCTTTCTTTCTTTCTTTCTTTCTTTCTTTCTTCTCATCCCTCTTTATTTCCTTTCCTTTTTCTTTCTCGATTCTATTTCTCTATACTGTTCTTTTTGCTTACTTTTTCTCTTTTTTTTGTCTTTTATTTCTTCTTATCCTCTTGCAACTTCACCTTCGTTTTCGTCCCCATCTTTTTTTTTTTTTTGTTATTGTTCGGTTCTCCTATTCCTTTTTTCATCTTCCCGTTCACTGCCGCCAACAAACGATACCTAGCTTTCCTGTTACTTATCATATAGCAAAGCACTAACCTATCCCCCTTTCAAAACGCGAAACCCATCACCTCCACCGCACATCACATCCGACTCGCGTTTATTCAATACTCATTCTTTATTCTCCTTCTTTCAAATCTATTTTTTCTTGACTCGTCTTATATCACTGTTTAGGCAAAGATGGTAAACGCTCATCTCATTAGATCAGTCTGTTCACTTTGCCTGTCAACTACCATCTTACACGACTTACCAGATGAAGAAGCGCAAATCGTCTGTTGTCAACACCATCCGCCGTTCTCATCACCTGCCTTCAAGCTCCCTAACCACGTTTATTGTATTCAAAGTCTTCCCTGACAAAGCGACCCTTATATACGAAGGATTGATGGAAAATAGTGACAGAGAAAGCGAGGGAATGTCTCCACTTTATTTCGACAAAGGGTTACTCTTCATTTAAAATAAAAAGCACAACAATGCCTAAATTTACGGCTTGGTTTTCAAAAAGCAAATAAGTACTCGGCAATTAGAAATTAAGAAAAAGAAAAAAATCTATCGTTATGTCAAATAGACAAAGGAAATCAGGACTCGCGTCAACACGCTTGTTGTCATGATTAGTGGATTTCCAAACGATGTCTTTTTACATGGTAACAAGACGACCTGTTTGCTTACGTAACAACATGGAGATGGGATGGGGATACAAATACAATAGACAGAAACGTGTTCGGCAGGGTGTAATTTACTGAAAAATCAATTAACAACGTTTATATATAGAAAAACAACTACAAATTTGCATGTGCATGTGGGAAGGTCGGTTTATATCTTTCTCATTATTCTTTGTTTCGTGTATATATATATATATATATATAGAGAGAGAGAGAGAGAGAGAGAGAAAAAGGGAGCAGATTGGCATGAATAGATTAGGCTAGAATAGATAGATAGATAGATAGATAGATAGATAGATAGATAATAATATCAACAGATATATAGAAAAAAACAACATAGAAGAAACAAACCCAACTCCACAAAAAAAAAGTCATATTGTTCGTCTCTCAAGGGGTTTGCCATATTGAGATGATAGTTAGATATTTACATAGATAGATAGATAGATAGATAGATAAATAGATAGATAGATAGATAGATAGATAGATATAAATAAGAGATATAGAAATAATATATATATATATATATATATATATATATGTGTGTATATATATATATATATATATATATATATATATATATATATATATATATATATATACAAAATGTATGTAAAAATACGCTGGGAAATTACCGTGCAAAAGATGGATATATAAAAAAAAATTCTCAATGGACCATTTAGAAAATTGAACTTGCAAAAGCAGGTTAAACACCAAACATTTTTAAAAACAACAAATTGGGTTTCAAACGTAATCTCTCGTGAGGTAGTTAGGGAAATTATACAATAATAGATAGATAGATAGATAGATAGATAGATAGATAGATGCAAAATAGAAATGTGAAAAGTGATACTGAAAACATAACGCCAAAGTTTAGATTTTAAATATTATTTCAATTCTAAAATAATCTGACAAACAAATGAAAAGCCTTTTCGGTTCTACCCATATATGACAAAATAAACAAATATTAGATGTGCACCAAGAACGTTTCAGTACCCCTAAAGTACTCGGCACAACCAAAAAATCTTATTGTGTATTTGGGTAGAAATCTCTATTTTATTCAAAGACGACTGACAAGTTACAAGGATTAAGCATTTTATTCTATTTTCTCTTGCATTCGTACAAGTGTATTCTTTTTTGAACAAGTCTATAAAAACTGTCCAGATATCAATATTTCTTTATTTGTTCACCTCTTCTGTGAACTGGCATTGAACTCACAACTCTTTGACTCAAGTCACATGGCCAGTGGATAAAAGCGTCGGTTGAAGTAATCCAGTGGCTTGACCCAAAGAGTTGTGAGTTCAATACTTGGCCACATCAGAGGTGAGCAAAAAACTTGAGTTGAGTTACTAAAGGGAAATAACTGAAACTGATATATCCAGAAAAGGCCTGGCACGTGGAACCAGAACAATCTACCCCAGTGGATGAAATAAAGTGTTCGGTTCGAAATTTCAACGTATATCCCCTAAACTACATCCAACAGCAAAGCCTCTGATCAGGATTTTTTTGAGAAGCGTGGAACCACCTCTTAATTGCTGGCGTTCCCAAGTTCACCCTGACCCGGGGTGGTAGCAACTGGTAGGGTCCCAGCTATGGGCAAATAGTTAATCCAAAATACTATGAAAGTGTTAATAGTTTTTAATACATTTTTGGAAAAAAAAATATTAGATAGCAATAGATTTTGGAAAAAATAAGAGCAGTAAATTTTTAAATGAAACAATTACCAGCAATACCAGAAGTACATTTTTGGAAAAAGAATATTACTAGAAATATATTTTTGAAAAAAAAAAAAAATCTCACCAGCAATACATTTTAGAAAAAAAAAATTACCAGCAATAAATATCTTGTCGGCATTAAATAACCTGTTGAGGTTGATTAACTGTAAAACAAAACATAACCAAACCACCTGAAGAAGGTCGGAGCGTACAACGTCCGAAACGTTGTGAATAAGACAAGAAAAACGAGGACAGCGACCCGAACAATATAAATAGTGTAAGTAACTATCCAGATATTCTATTAATGTCGGCGCTTTCGGATATTATATTAGTCATTATCAAGGATTTTTTTCTTTTTCTTTTTTTTTTTAACTAAATATGTAGATATATTTATATGCATATGTATAATGATAGAAATGATTTTTTTTCCAAACAACGTCAGTGCATTGTGGCCGTGTCCATAATTGACATTATTGAGAGTTGGCGTTTCCTTTTGCATTATTAATGCTTCCATTAGTTTTAACTGTTGTTTCCATGCGTATAAGACTATTATGAACGTATTTTGTACAAAGCATATTACGGAAGGAAATTGCCAGGTTTATATATCCGAATGCAAGAAAAAGTGAATAAAAATCAGTCGTCTTAAATGAAACTCGCTTATATATATATATATATATATATATATATATATATATATATATATATATATATAAAAATTGAGATTGAGATGATGGCTTGAAGATTGCAGTTAAGCATGAAACAGAGTGTCGCCACTCGTTGTTGATATAAATGGTCACTTTTAGCCTACATCAAATTAAATATCGTTCACCACAGGGAAAAGGATTTTGAAATACGTATGATATAATTAATGTACGCTCATAGTTTAACAGTATTATAATAATTCAAAAAATAAAAATAAAAATAAAAATTATTTCTTTTTGTGCAGCCTCGTTCCCAATAGCCGTACACATGACCAATTCAAATATCCAGCTTCCAAAAGAATACCAGGATTCCTACAAAGGAATTCTAGCTACCCCACAGACAATACATCGATTCTTGATAATGACTGCGAAAGTCGAAAGTACTTGGACAATAACAAAATATGAACATCGGACTATTTATCCATAAGTTCGTGCGCATTACTCAACCGAAAATTGGAAAAATACAATAAAAAATGAAACAGACAGAAGTTGTCGGTACTTTTTAATCAAACTTTTCCAATAAATATATATATATATATATACTAGCAGGCTTTTGTTCCTAACCCGAGTGTACGCGCTCGGGCTACCCACATTAAACCGACCTTGTGTCACAACCTGACCTCGTGTGGGGTTGAGCAAATAGAAATTACTCTCTCGAGTAGTTTTTAACATATTATTTATCATTTCTGAACTGAGTCTCTGTCTTGCAGGGCTCGGCGTATTTTTGTTCGTAGCCCGTGTGTACGCGCTCGGGTTCCCACATTAAAAACTGACCTTGTGTCGCATCTCCTTTTGTTGGGGAGAAAGCATGTATATGTGTATGCGTATGTTGGTTTGTGTTTACCGTATGTAAATTGTTCTCGATTAGTTTGGAACACGTTTATTTATCATCTCTCAATCTCTGGGAGAATGCACTCAGGAGTGGCTCCGTCAAAGGGCAGAGGCACAACTGAGGAAAATTATACTGTGAGGTGCCCAGCCCTGGGCAACAGATGCCCGAGGCTGCGCCCTCTGATTGCACGAGAGAGAAGGATTGGTGCTCGCACCAAGGCCAGCGTAACCGACGGTTGCTGGGGCTCGGGCAATTTTTGATCCTAGCCCGGGTGTATGTGTTCGGGCACCCCACATTAAACCGATTTTGTGTCACAACGCGACTTCGTAGAGTGGGACCGAGTAAATACCAAATTACTATAAAGTAGACCTGGAGCTTTTTGATCTCAGAATTCGTGGGAGAACTGAACTCCAAATTCGCATTTATTCATATAGATTCCATAATATAGGTTTTATTTAATTTGCTATTATGTTTCTCTAACTCATCAAATGTTGAATGTATAACTAATTCTAATTTCTATTTTCCCATCTTTACACAATATTAATTTTATCTTATAAATTGTCCCCCTGTTTTGTCACACATGAAATAAAAATATTTGTTTGTACGGAAAATAAGGACCTACGTACATCAAACCCTCATTAAATTAAGTGGAAGCAGAAGAATTGTCGTTGAACTTTTAAAAGATAAGTTTAAACATTAATTCAATATTTAAATGCAGCAATCAATTTTGAGTTCTTCTATAGTTTATTGATGCCTATCGCATCTACTCCTCCCTAGCTATTGTAATGATAGCAAAACCAAGAGTCCTCCACAGAAGCTAGCTTAAATGCCGCCCGATAGCGCGGCTTTTATGCTATTTACAATAAAACGTGCACTGTAATTTTGGATACAAAAGAAAAATAAAAGTTACTCCCCTTGAACAATGAAAGCAACGATAATGGATAGTATAATATATATATATATATATATATATATATATATATATATATATATATATATCCAGCCCTACGACTGCTTTTCCCACAGGTGGAACGTTGCGAGCCTCGCGATACTCTGTCTTTATTTCCATGGTAAATGTTAAGAGGAACTACAATTCCTACTCCCTTCAATTCAGTTCTTTACAGTTTCTACCCTCCATGCCAAATACAAAGGTTCGAATTATTCTCATACCGTTCGTATTCAATTAGAAAGAAAACAAGGGTCACTTCGACGTGGTGTAATGGTTAGCAATCTTGCCTTACGACTAAGAAGAAGGATCTGAAATGTTATTGGTCCTGTCCGGGCATCTCAGCTTCAGTCGTTTTCCCATTGCTGTAATACAGCTTCTATGTGCCTTTTCTATAAATACTTTTATGCTATTTGTTCTGATGAACTTTGCTCTTTGGTACTGTTGTGGTAATTTACTCACGCACGCATGGACTCTCCCAGCTTTAAATAGAAGCAGGTACGGCCCTTTGGGTGGGGGAAGTTTCCAGTAGTTAGCTCTGACAGTCGGGCCGAACATTCTTGCTGTAACACTCTCGTTCGTATTACTGTTTTCTGTTAATATA